TTCCTTCTTTCTTTCTTTCTTTCTTTCTTTCTTTCTTTCTTTCTTTCTTTCTTTCTTTCTTTCTTTCTTTCTTTCTTTCTTTCTTTCTTTTCTTTCGCCAGTCCTGAGGCTTCAACTCAGAGCCTGGGCTCTGTCCCTGAGCCTTTCTGTGCTCAAGGCTAGTGCTCTATCACTTCTGGCTTTTTCTGTTAAGTGGTACTAAGGAATTGAACCCAGGGCTTCATGCATACTAGGCAATTGCTATACCACTAAGCCACATTTCCATCCCTCTCCCCGTTTTGTTTTTTGGTTGGTTGTGGGTTTTTAACTCTGGGCCTGGATGCTGTCCCTCAGCTCTTCTGCTCAAAGCGAGCTCTCCCACTTGACCCACAGTGCCACAGTCTCACAGACTTTCCTACCTTGGCTGGCTTTGAACTGCAATCCTCAGATCTTAGCCTCCTAAGTAGCTAGGATTATAGGTGTGAACCACTGGTTCCTAATGTGCGGGGCCCCCCTCATGCCCCCCCCCCCCCCCCGGCGCCTTTTTTTTTTAAATGTTGGTTATTGGGCCTTGAATTCAGGGCCTTTCACTCTTATTTGGCTTTTCTGCTCACAGCTCACACTCTATCATGTTGAACCAAAAGCTCCAGTTCTAGGAAGTATAGAACAGTATGTTCAAATGCATTTCCAAGCAAAGAAGAGCAAGACCCTATCAAAATAACAGTACATAAAAGGGCTGGACGCCTGGATCAGACATAGAAAATCTGCGTAGTAAATGCAAGTCCCTGTGTTTAAACCCCAATTTGGTGAATTGTTTATTCATTCTAGTGATGCTGAGGTTTGAATTCAGAGCCTTGTGCTTTTTAGGCATATATTCTACTATTGAACCATGCCCTCAGTCATTTTTTTTTTTGCCTGTCCTGAATATTGAAATGTAGGCCTGGTCACTGTCTCTTAAGTTCTTTTATTCAAGGCTAGCATTCTACCACTTGAGCCACAGTACCACTTCTAGTTTTTGGTAGCTAATTGGGTATAAGACACTCAAGCCCAGCACCAGTGGCTCATACCTGTAATCCTAGCTACGCAGGATCTCTGAGGATCGCAGTTCAAAAAGCCAGCCTGGGCAGGAAAGTCTGTGAGACTCTTAACTCCAATTAACCACCAGAAAACCGGAAGTGGTACTGTGGCTGAAGTGGTAGAGCTCTCCTTGAGCTGAAGGATAGCACCCAGGCCCTTGAGTTCAAGCCCCAGGGCTAACAAAAAGAAAAACCTATCATTTCACGTTCTTGTGGGTTTTTTTTTTTTGGTTTTTTTTGGGGGGGGGTCTATCGTGGGGCCTGAACTCTGGGCCTCGGCACTGTCCCTGAGCTGCTTTTGCTCAAGGCTGGCACTCTACCACTTGAGCCACAGCGCCACTTCTAGCTTTTTCTGCTTATGTAGTACTGAGGAATCGAACCCACAGCCTTATGCATGCAAGGCAAGCATTCTACCATTGAGCTACCTTCCCAGCCTAAGTTCTTGTATTTCATTGGTTGGTTTTAGAACTTGAATTCAGGGCCTGGGCAATGTCCCTGAGCTTTTGTGCTCAAGGCTACCACTTGCACTTTCAGCCACAGCTCCACTTAAGTTTTCTGATGGTTAATTGGGGATGAGCAGTATCTCATGTCCTTTCCCACCTGGGCTAGCTTTGAACCAATAATCCTCAGATCTCAGCTTCCTACATAGCTAGGATTACAGATGTGAGCCACCAGTGCCCAGCCCAAGTTCATGTTTATAATAACATTATTGATAAGGATTTTAGTTCACTATGTGGATAGTTTTTGCCAGTCCTCTGGCTTGAACTCAGGGCTAGCACTGTGCTACTTCTGGCCTTTTCTGTTTATATGGTACTGAGAAATTGAACCCATGGCTTCAAGCATGCTAGGTAAGCACTCTACCACTAAGCCACATTCCCAACCCTGGGTAGTTGTTTATTGCATCACCATTTAATACAAATTTTATCCCCATTGAATTAGTTGGCATCTTTGTCAAAGTTTTAGCCAAATATATGTGGATTTATTGTCCTAGTTTGCTTTTCTTTATGCCAGTACCACATTGTATTCATCTGGAGATCACTGTCTTACCGTGTTTACTGAAGTATTTCTTTGCATTGCCCTTTGTAGGCATATGATCTATGTGCTGACCTGAATGCCTTCAGCTGCATTCATAATCCACTTGCTATTTGGTTTTGACTGCCCAGTTTATGAATTTATAAATCATTGGCTAATTAGCACATGTATTATAAGTCTATGGAGCAAATAAACTAAGAAATCTTGTAGTAAAGCCTTTCAGAATGTTACCTTTGAGATTTCTTTGGATTTTGTGATGATATGTGAGTTTACTCTTAATAGACTAGAAAAGTAGTCTAAGATGGAAATATTATAGACTAAACGTAGTATATGTTTAACATGTATGATGAAAATAGAATCTTTTTTCTTGCAGTGTGGATGTGGATTGCGAAGCTAAGAAATTATTGGGATTAGGACAAAAACACCTAGTGATGGGGGATATTCCAGCAGCTGTCAATGCATTCCAGGAAGCAGCTAGTCTTCTGTAAGTATTGTATATTAAGGGGACAAAGGATAGATAAATGCAGTGGTGGTGCTCACTAGATACTGTGTAGATACTGTGAATAATGAACTATACAACTTGTAGGTGGAATAGGAGAGAGAAAGTGAGGGAAGGAATGACATTGTCCAAAGAGAAATGTACTTTTTTGGGGGTATGTTTTTTATTGTAAAAATGCTGTACAGAGGGGATTACAGTTACATGAGCAAGGTAATGAGTACGTTTCCTATTGAGCATTGTTGCCTCCTCCTTTGTTTTCCCCCTACCATCCCTTTCCTCCCACCTCCACAACTATTACCCCACCCCCACCCAAATGTACTTTTCATTTGACTTATGTAACCATAACTCCTTTATACATCACCTTTATAATAACAATAAAAATTACATTAAAAATACAGAAAAGAAAACTAAGGCACTGAAGTTAATTTATTAATCTAAGTTGCACAATAAGCAAGAGTTAGTTATGCTTTACAGGCTTCATCAACTTAATCTGGCTCCAAAGATTTGTGGGTTTTGTTTGTTTGTTTTTGTTTAGCTGTTGTTGGTCCTGAGGCTTGAATTTAGGCCTTTTTTGCTCAAGGCTAGTGCTCTACCACTTGAGCCACAGCTCCACTTTTAGTTTTTGGAAGTTTATTGGAGATAAGAGTCTCATGGAAGGGACTGGGAAGGTGGCTCAGTGATAGAGCGCTTGCCTT